GACAGGCTGGAGAGATGCTTCTTGGTCCTCTCCAGCATCCTCCTCCTCTGGTGTTCCTCCTCCCCTCTTCCCTGTTCCAACCCCTCCTCTTTCCTTTCCCCATCTCCCCACCATCAAACTTTGCCCCAGCCTTGATAGCCCCACTCTTCTAAACCACATTTTCTTCTCAGCTCCTGCCAAAGTCCATAGGATTATCTCCAAAGGGGGTTTGGTTTCTAAAAGGGTGGGTTTCAAATAAATTGGAGTGGAGGTTGTTCAGTGCTCTGTGGGCCGTGGGAGATAAAACAGAGAGAGATGTGTTCGTTCCCTTTGCCAGCTACTCCAATCCCTGGCTGATAATTACCAACAATGGATAAAAATGTGCTTGGGATATATCATGAGAAGAAATCATATGGAAATATTAGGCAGCCTATTATTGTAAGGCTCTTGTAAATACCGTTTCATAAGAAGAACCTATCTGAGATGATGTAAAACTTAATATTCCTATTAACTAGACGTACTGTACTATTTCCAATTCATATCAGTGAAAATGCATTTTAAATTACAAAGTACTCATATTTTATCTGAGCCAATGTTCTGATTCATATGTCTCCTCTTTAATCCTATTTTCATTCAAAGTTTCACAATTCACATCTTTTTCCCATTTTCTGTAATACTTTCTGTTTTTTCAAAATGTAATCAAAGCTTGTTAGCTTCTACCCAACCATGTTTGGCTGAATGGGAATATTAATAATACCAGCTATTGATGTCTTTATGTTAAAATTTGATTTATTGAGCAAGTGGCACATAATCTGTGGGGAAAATACCTAGAGATAACACCTTGAGATGATTAATTGTGTTTACAGTGCATTTCTGTAATAATTGTTTACAAGGAAATTTATGCATGAGTTGCTGCCCCAGTTCAAAAGAATAACTCATCAGATTGTCAAGCTCTCTGCTCTTGAGTATTCCAGCTAATTGCTATCTTTGCTAGTTGAGCATCATAAATCCTTCTTCCACAGAGCTGAGAGCAGGATTTTTGGATCCTGCTTTTGCATGCAACCTTTTCATCCCTGGGAACATCAGTTTCCTCCTGCAGGAAAAGAAAAAAGTCTGTAAGGGGGTGATATCGACAGGAGATTGTGACAAGCTGCCCGGTGGCATCGGGTCTGACTTCTGAGAGGAGCTTAGACAATCATGTCTTAAAATCTGTGTTGGGTGAATTTGCCGGGAATGTTACTGATAATGAATAACACACGACGATGTAGACTCAATCTTTAAAAACACTAAATTCCCGGTTCTGCTGCTCCCTACTCTTGTATTTCCTTCTCCTCCACTAGTGCTGCAGGGTAGAGATGGCAGGATGGGTTGGGGAATGGTTCCTTTGCAGCCATCTGTGCTTATTACTGATCTAATAACAACTGCACAGTTCTCCCTTTTGGAATTAAATCCGTCTTTATAAATTCACAGACATAAAAATGCTTTTCTTCTGCACAGATTCATGCATTTTGAGTTTGCTTTTTTTTGTTCTATTTCCAATTTTGCAGTTTAATTATTTCATAACTAACTCTCCTGTAGTTGCAGGAGTGTTATCCAAGCAATATGTTGCCAGGAAGTAGTTGATAATGTTTAATAATTCCTGATTACATTCCTGTTCCAGTCCATGATCATGATTATACAAATGTTTCTGGTGCTGTTTTTCAGTACAAATCCTCCTTTTCAGGTTCTTTCCCCTCCTTGTTGACAGTGTGTTGGTCAGAATACAAGAGAAACCGACCTATTTGCTGGTTTAATTAAAGATGTCAGTGAAATCCTTAAGGTTTGCCTGGGAAGGAGCAGATTTACTTGCTGCTTTTATGCACACTGTGGGATTTAAACATTTTGAGAATTGCTTTGGTGATTTTTCCCAGGAGATAAAGGAATGGATTAAGTGAAGTAGTTTCTGACTATAATTGGTCTGGTTTAAACACTTAAAAATAACTTTAAGAAATAAGAAAACACAAAACAGGTTTTCAAGTAGGGATTTAACTTTTTCTTTTCCCCTCCCCCCCAGCTATGTGTTTATTCCAGCTTTGGTGTCTCATTGTGAACTATCAAAGTGGGCTGGACCTGAGGTGGGATATCTGTTCTCGAAACAGCAGCCCAGGCAGAGGACAGATGTCTGGAGGAGAAGAAACAAAAGGCCTAAATCTGAGGGAACAGCAGGAGGAGAGAAAAAGGAGATGAGAGGGAGGAAAGAAGATAAAAACCAAGAGGCTTTCAGCCTTTGGATCAGTTATTTGCTCTTTGCAAACAAAGTGGGCTGGGAGTGCTTTAAACTTGCCGAGGGTTTGCTGGCAAAGCAGCCCCATCAAAGGCTCCACCTGTTGCTCAGGTGTTCCTGGCACTGCTGCTGCTCCTCTGGATCCAGGCAGGGATACACCCGGGGCACCACAGAAAAGCTGTTCTGTCTCCTTTTCCAGTCAAAAACACCTGGGCTCTCCTCCCTGCCTCGCTTTGTCTCAGCCAGGTGAGCGGCCAACAGCGAGGATTTACTGCCAAATTATTCCTGTCATGGTTGCTTGGAGAGGCAGAGGTGGAGCTGGCATAAATCAGAATATTCACATGGCTAAACCAAGCTTAACTCTGTCCCCCCGATGCCATCAGCTCCTACAGTACCAGCTGCACCGAGTGAAGGCAATAAAACGCCCTGCTGAGCAATCAAAAAATATCAATTTAACACCTAAACTTATGCTTGTGGTCCAGAGAAATGAGGATCACTGCTGTGCCTGTAGTAAAATGGTTCCTATCGAAACTTGGTGATATGGGAATTCTTGAGAGGAGAGTAAAAAAAGCCACCCAAGGCTTTACAAGCAGTTTTGATCCGAAGTAGACGCAATAACACAACACATGAAGCAGAATCTGTAGGAAATATTAGACTAATCTTACAAAATATTCCAACCATGCCTATCAAGGAACATTAATAACAGTGTTATTGACAGAGTATTCATTTGAAGTCATTCTGTTGGATACAATTAACATTTAGATGAGAGACAGTTATAGGTACTCGGATGATATATATGAAAGAAACAATGACTCATCCCTCCAGCAGCATCCGTACCAAACCTCACAGCAGGGAAACTGCATTTCTTCCAGCTTTGAAAAGCTCCCATGGACCTTCCTGAAGAAATCAGCTTGTTCCTCTCAAAGAAATTGCTCTGTTCTGTTTCCTTGTTGAAAGAGGAAATTTCTGTGGGTCTTGCCAAGGGCTGGATGAAGGCACACAGGGAAGGGGAAAGGGCTGGGATGGACAGCTCAGGTCTGGAGGACTCTGCTGTGCTCCTCTGCCAGGTTCTTCTTCCTAAAGCTATTTATGTAATTAGATTAATTGTTACATCGCCCACAGGAACATCAGCAGCTGATGAATGAACTCTGTGCAGCCAGGGTGAGGGCAGTGATGTAAAAACCAAGAGTACACCATCAATCCTCTCTTGCCAGCACTCCCCAGTATCAAACCAGACTGTTGAGACCTGGATGGAATATGAACAAGGTGTTGGACAGACACATTCCAGCAATGGTTTCCTGAGATTCACAATGTCTCCAATCCAATAATGGGGTTTGGATTGGTCTCACCTGCTTTTAGTTCTTTCAAATGTAGTCTGGGCCTGCTCTTGACTGAGACAAGTTTGGCCTGGGAGCCCTCCATCCTGGACAGCTTCAAGTCCCTTATTTTTGGAAGGCTGAACTGCTTTCTGAACACAAAAGCATCAGTGGCAGCCACCAGCCTTTGTATTAGTGAGATGACACTTTTTTCTTCACATCTGTGCCTGCCTGGAGGTCTCTCCATCCAAGTGGGTTTTGTGCATCTTTAGAAGATGCTTTGGTCAGCCATAAATATGAGAATAATCAGCCATAGTTCAGAAAATCTGGAATTGTGACAGAAATTTCCACCATAAACACTCTCTGCAGCAGCAGGTTGGTAAGTAAGAATATCATAATTTGGTTTAGAGAAAATGGTACTGTAAGGATTAATTGGAAAATATTTTTATATCTTGAACAAAAATTTTAGATGACATGTTGCCATAATAAGTAGACTTGCATGTCTGGAAATGGAGTTATCTCCAACCCTGCTGCCTTAAATCTGCTCCATAATAGCCTGGTAGTAGTTTATTTATATTAATTCCGTACTGTATATTTTGCATTTTTGTGGAAATGCCTAGAGCATGCATATTAAGCAGTTAAGAAAATTGATCTGCTTGAGCAGTGATAACATTTGCAGAATGAAATCCTCACAATTAGAGAGACGTTTGAAGAAACCATGTTAAAAGGTGCTGAAATGTTCTTGAAGAAATGCCACATGTTGCTGCGGGCAGTAATGAAACATTTCCATATAAAGTACTACATAAACACATAGAAAATGTAGACATATGTTAGCAGATTATGGGGTGTGAGAGTGATAGAGTAGTGATGATTATTTGCAAGTGTTAATGTTACCAAAGCTGAAGGTTATCTCCTGGTCCTGGACCCTATATGTAAATAATTATAGCTGGAAATATGCATTTTCAAAGCCATCAAACAAAATATACATCCAGCACTCCTGAAATACTGCAGGGTTTATTGATCTGCAGTGTAGGACAGTAAATTTTAGTAGATTTATGCTCATATTTCGGTGAACATATGGCTTAAGACATGCAAGTTTGGAATAAAGTTATTCATATTACGCACACTTGCACATGGTTCAGGATTTGCAAGTCAGGAAGTGATCAGTATGCAAAAGGTGAAGTCAAATATACATTACCCACACAGAGGGAATTGTCTATGCATAGCACAGAGCTCTTCTACCAGCAAACCAGAGAATTTGGGTCTCTGCATCCATCTATCAGATGTCTCCTGTGAAAATGTCCATCTATTATGTAAATAGTCCTGTTCTAAATATCTGTTTGTGTGAGGGTAGCCTATATATTTTCACAGCATGCTGCACCCAAAATAGCACATCAAAAAAAGAAAAAGAACATATAACAATTTAAGATCCAGCAGTCACTTCAGCTTGGGGATATGGTTTTAGTGGACCTTTGGTTGGGGTTTTCTTCCAAGCCTGTCTGAAACCCTTCAAAACCTCGTTTTTTCAGTGGTGGCTTTTGCATTTCTCTTTATATAACAAACTTCTGCATTGCTCCTACTCCAGGACCTAAAAGCACAACTGTGAAATCAGGTAAGTTGGTTAAATATTTTTGCTGAGATTCTCGCTGTTGTTTTCCTAACGAGCATTTTCTCACATTCCTTTCTGTTTTTTTTTTTTTCAAAATGTTTGCCTCGAATTAGAAAACAATCTCTGTACTCCAAAGTGGCAAATCACTTGAGACTAGTTTCTGAATAGTGCTGAGAAATCCCTCTTTGCATATCTTTAAAGATGTTGCTCCAAGAAAAACAGGAATTTGTAACTCTAAAGCCTTCATCAGCCTTGTAACTTTGAAATAAATAGTTCTTGAAAGAATTACTACTTGCCAGGCCTTCAGTTGTGTGCACTGAAGCTGTGGAAATTCAAGCTAAATAGATGTTATGATCTTTGTCTATTTAATAGAGCTTTTTTTTTCTTCATCACAGAATTATGTCACTATTTTCCATTGCAGAAAGACCAGAAAGAGAAAAATCAGATCAATTAATGATCCATTTTATTATAAAAATCCTTATATCATTTCTGGGTGCTTATATATTTTACTATGATTGGACTTAAACATTGGTCAAAACCAGCCCCCAGTCATTTCCTTTGGTTCTGGGCCAGGTCTGTTCTTGCACAAACAGAAAAAATATTTAGGTTGATGCAGGATAGATTAATTACAAATTATATTATAATTTATTATATATTATAATCATGGGGGGTCCTTGTATTGGTAAGCAAATGCACCAAGCCATGAAATACCCATTAAAATATTAATTTGCATTTCATACCTTGGTGCATTTGCTTACCAATCCAAGGAGCCCCCATGATTTTTCACTATTAATACACTGTATTTATACTGAATTTACAGTGTGCTGTGTTGAAGGCACAGGTGAGGAGTCCAATCTTTGTAGCTTGGGAGGATGGATCCAACGTTGGCAACATCGATGGAAATTCCAAAGGGAGAGTTGAAGAGATACCTGGGCTGCAAAGAGGGTCTGCAAACAGAATAATCCAGCCCATCTCATTTTCTCTGGGCCCACTTCCCACGAGGGATGGGAGGAAGTGCTGGCATGGGCTCCCCCCAATGAGAGCAATGCCAGGTCCCCAGTGAGATGAAGGAAAAAAGGAATTTCTTCTATTTCATACAGAATTTGCTGATTAATGATGATAGCATATCAACGGTCTGTTAATTTTTAAAATTTAAATAAATTAAATTAAATATTTACTAAATTTCATGAGTAGAAGCTCTTTTGAAAGGGGGTGCATTAAAATTTGGAAACAAAAGATCACACAAGTGTTTTTTCCAACTATCCCTGTTTTCAGAAACCCATCCATCTCCCTTCCAGAAAGGAGTTAACTTTCAGGATAAGTCTTTTCTTCTTCATTAGCTCTTTATTAGCATTGGGCTAATCAGGTCAGGCAGAATAAAAACTCATCAGAACCATCAGCTAAAGATCAGAGGAAGCCATTTCTCCTTTTGAAAGTTACATTTCCTATATTTTCTGTCTATTTTCTTAATAATTTTTGTTCCTCCTGTTGTTGTACAGGAACAGATGTGAATGAATTCCCCAAAGAAAATTTGCTCTTACAGCATTCTGGTTCAATTTCTTTGTCCATGCCCATCCCTAAAGATAGTAAACAGATAATATTTATAGGGAGATTTTACGACCTGTTTACTTCAGATCTTTTTCTTATATTTATAAAAAAATGCAGAGAAACCAAACTAAGTGATAAAGCAGCAGCTGGAGGTGCCTTTTTCATTCTGGGCATTCAGTAAATATTGCTCTGCTAGAATAAAAAAAAAGTAAAATTAAAAAATATTTTTTAAAATCATTGAAATATTAAGAATCATTCTGGTAACAGCTTAGTAGGGTAGATAATATTGGAAGTAATTTTAAAAGCTGTTTTAATTAATATTTTTAATAACATATATAGAGCATATAGTAGCAACATGACTTTTCTGTATTCCTATCGTGATCCAGGCTCTGTAGTGGTTTAAAATGCTGATTTGGAGCTCATGGGTTTGGATTTTTGTGGGTGAAAGGACCCTTGGCTGGATCCCTGAGGGCTTTATCTCCAGATACCACTTTGGGGATGCATTACGAATATCCTGAGGCTTAAAAGTCCATGATACTTATTTTTGGTAAGGTACATGTGCACTTAAAAGATTTGCTCATTTTTGGAGAAAATGGGCAATCAATAAATTGAAGGAGTTAAGGTGTAGCTAGGCCTAACCTTAGTCTCAGACTTGGACAATGGTTTATGTCTAATGGATGCATCTATACAAATTTATAAATGAATATTGAATATTTATTTAATTGGTATTAATTCAGCAGCTCCCAGTCACTGAGGATGTGTTGTGGGGAATGGATTTCTCTTCCTTGGGCAGGGGAGATTGTCTTAACCTCAAGCAAGGAATCTGAAACCTTGGGAAACCCCGCTCAAGGGAAGAGTCACTGGTGGGCAGCTCAGCTGTAATTAAGGAGAACTCAAACTGGACTCATCCAAAGTTGGTAAAAGGTTTCTCTGCTTTGAGTCCCAGCTCCAGGGCTCACCCAGGCTGGAATACCTATGGAATAAAGTGCTTGTGTCTCAAATTGCATATGGTGGGAAAGAAATGATGAGCTTCCTTGTACCCACAGCTTTGTTCCTTGAGGAAAAAGAGTTGGAAAAGACACCTGCCATCCCTGCATCAGTGGTTGGTGTTGCTTACATGTTCTGATGATCTGGGATCACTGCTCCTCTGGAGATTTTCTTGAAGGGTTCTTCAAGCTTTTCTTCTTTGGAAAAGACCCTTGGGTCTTTTTCTCCTTTGGAGGCTGCACCAAAGTCCTGCTGCTTTTGTTGAGGGCTCAAATGTCACCTACTCCAACAGCCAGAGCATGGTATGGGGAGTGTTCTAAGAGCACTTTGGGGGAAAATAAAAATAAATTCACCAGTGCTTATTCACCTTCTAGAAAGTCCAGTTTGGTCCTTTCCAATGTTCTTTGATGTGCAGGAAGCACTTTGCTGTTTGACCAGCTCATTGAAGAGTTTCCATGCTCAGCCCTCAGTGGAGAAGGAGACCTGATCATCCAGCACATCCCTTTAAACCAAGCCTCTGCCATCTGTTTCAACCTCTAATTACAAATGCAAAATAACACAATTCGCAATTGCATCATAAAAAAGTAAAATATAAGTGATTTAAATGCATGTGTGTGTTCCTTATGCAAGGCAACATTCATCTGTTATGTTTTACTATCTTTTAGAAACAACTCCAGGGTGAAATCCCTCTTTGTGGAGGGAAGAAAAATTATTTCATTGTAAGACAGTTTTTGGAAGGTGTTTTTCCAGGTTATATTGCACATCATATATTTGTCTCTTTAAAAATTCTCTTTCTTCTGCCAAAATAGCAGCATTAATGGGATGGGTGGTTTGTCCAGATCAGTCTGTTGTCTTCCAACACAGAACTTGGGGAATCCTTTGGCTGACCAGGCTCTCTCCTGGATTCCCAAATCATCAGCCATGTTCTACTGCTGCTTCCCTCTTTTTATAGATCTGTATTTATGTCATTGTGATTACAGGGGCTTTTTTTTTTTTTTTTTTTTTTTTTTTTTTTTTTTTTTTTTTTTTTTTTTTTTTTTTTTTTTTTTTTTTTTTTTTTACCTATAGATGGACAATTCCATCCAGTTAATCTCTTTCTTGAAGCAAAGGGTTGTTTTAAAGGCAACCTCTAGTTATCCCATCATGGAGTTCTTTTAGTTTTCCTGTGCAGGGAGTTGACATCACCTATGTAACCAGTTAAACTTGGCTTTCTAAATAATTATATTCATTATGGTTTGTTGATTTGTGTTTAAGGCGTTTGTAAAATTCCATTATCAATAGCATGTGCGTGTTTAACTTTTCATTTCCCTCAGAATTTTCATTTCCATTCACCAGCCACATTTGTCAATCCAGAAGAGACACCTTTGATTTCTCAATATCATTTTGGCACTGAGATGGCCCAAACCAAATGTCCCATGCTCTGTAGACCTCCCACTTTTCTCCATCCACACCTTTACCTGAACCAGAGATGACACCTCACTCTGCAAGAAGAGCAAACTAAAACTTTCTTCCTGAGGAGTAATTATTCCCAGTGAGCAGCAACTGGGGAGCATCAGAGTGTCTTTCTGATCTCACGTTTGCTGGTGAGCAATGAGTACTTTAAATGCAGCATTTTATGAACTTTGAGCTCTAAAACATTTGGAGCCTTTCTGGGAAGCAGAATGCAAGGCCTGTGGTGTGTCACAGCATGGGCTGTGTAACGCACGAACTTGGAGCCTACACACAGCCCTCAGTCCTGGGCTTTGTCCTCCCTTCCCCTCCTCTCCTCTCCAGCCTCCTTAAAATAAGGGTCCAATATATCAAGGGATTGAACTTCACGGGTTTCAAATGGGAGCTGAAGAATTTGTTTTCACTCTGATGTGAAAGGAACAATTAGCAAGGGCGAACCCCCTTCTCATCATGGGAGACTTTTCAATTTCCATGAAAGGCTTTGGACCAGGATCTAAAAGAGCAAAGACTTACTCCTAACAAAGATGCCTGAATAGGGATGGAAAACTGTTAATCAGACACTCCTGGCATGCTGGATGGTACAACAAAACCATCAGCACACTTCCCTCCAACTTTGCCAAGGGCAAAGGGATGATTTTACCACTCAGGAATCCTGGAGGATAACTGGTGGTTGTTAGGCCAACACCTGGGAGTCTCCTTGCTTTGGTCAGCTGTGGGAAGGGGGAGAAGGAAGTGCCAGTGGACGGGAGCAGGAGGAGAGGGATGAAGGGAGCTCTGCTGGGCACAGCAGGTGAGCGTGGAGCCACGGGGCTGTGCTGGTCCTTACCTGGGGTTTGGGAGGACAGCAAAGCTGAGCTAACGATGCTCCCATCATCCCTGTTCATCACCTTGGCATTTTGTTTGGTAGGCTCGAAACTGAAAATACTTCTGGAAATGTATCCGTGATTTGAATTCTGATGAGGCAAGGAGGTAGCAAAAGGGGCATCAGGAGACACTTTTTTGGGAATGTTTTACTTTAT